TTTATGCCCCATGATCACACTGGGACACACTGTAGGATATAATCATCATATAAAATCCAATATTTGATTGTATACTACTCTTAAATATAAGGTCAAATTTGAGTGTTTTTGTTATTTTTTATAGGTTTTGATTTTTTTTATTTTATAATAAGACAGAAACAAAAATAATGCAAATAAGAATAAAAATTATTAAAATGTTATACTGCTTGAGGAAATAATATGCTTTGCTTTTTAAATCATGAGCAATATACAGATTTTACAAACCTTGCTCCTAGGCTGTTAGGATTAAAATATGAATTTCAGTCATGGCATCCCCATTAAGCTATTTGGTACATTCTATTTTTCTTTCCATTTTTTTGTTGTTCTGATTCCTTTTCTTATATGCAAAGTGAATTTATAATATAAAGGAATTAATAAACATATTAGAAACATATCAGAATACAATTACTACATTCTACTGATGGTTTATTTCTCTCTCAATTAAATCAAAAGCTGTTTAAAAATAAGGATAGTGTTGTCCTTGCCTTTTATTTCTCATGCAAAATATAATTTTTGAAACAAGTGTTATTTGGTGACAGATAACACCAAAGTTATAGTTATTTCTGTCATTTGTCTGATAAAACTTGTAGCATTAATACAACCTAGTTATAAGAATCAACAAATTTCATTAACTAAGTCTAAAAGAATAAAAATAAATTTAGGAGTTTATTAAAACTGATAGGCAGTAAAGATAACAGATTATTATTTTAAATGATTTAGCCTTACATGACATTATAAAGTAAACTAAATGAAATTTGTCAAATACAAGTAGATGGGATACGGCTTCAATTTTTTTTAATGGGTGGGTGGTGTGGATACTGTTTTATTCATTAAAATATTTGATTAGATCTTTTTTAAAGAATTTGCAAGACTTCCACATATATATATATATATATATATATATATATATATATATATATATATATCAGTAGCTTTGAAATATTTAAAGGCATATTTTCTATAATAAATAACATGGGCTAGAATTACAAATTGTATACTTGCCTCCAAAATATCCATATCAGGACAAAAGTGACTCACTACATTTCCACCAGATAAAGAATCTTATGTTTGCCCAAGTTAGATCCTTAGAGTGATGTTAAAATTTTTCTAAATTACTCTAAAATAACTTATAAATTTATTCTAAATATAGAGAGGTACTCAAAATACTTTTTAATACTAAATTACTTAATGCATTTTTTCATTTTTTTAAAACTTAAAAATACATTATCATTTAAGTAGTTTCTATTTTCAAAAAAGTTTGGTGCATAGTATCTCATCCAAACAGTAAATGATTCATTTAATACTCTTTTTCAATTTTGATCTGATCCAAAGGACCCTGGTGGAGGATCCAACACTGTACTCATTTATAATCATAAATCATAAATTATAGTTATAATTGAGTTATAATCAAATTATTTGATATTGATTCTTTTCCTCTTTAAGAACACATAATTAAAGCATTTCTCCCTAAATTACCAAAATGATAATCTTTATTAATCATACAGTAGAATATTAAAAAGTATGTACTAACAATTATTCTAAATACATTTTAAAGGACTATGTAATGATAGATTAATTACCAGATAGTAAAGAAAGCAAATATGGAAAGAGTTTATACAAAACTGGCTAAAGACCAAAAAAATGTATATAGAAAGTAGCGGAAAAAAAAAATCAAAACTCAGTGTATGAAACACGGCCAGCCAGAACTCAAACAAGACTTAGGGTAAAGTGGAGAAGTGAGGATGGAGCAGAGTCCTCCCTTGCCTTTCCTTTTTTGTCAATCTTATGATCAATTCTTATCACCTTTTGAGGAGGAGAAAACATACATAACACAATAATAGTCACACTGTACATCACTGTTCTAAACAAAATCATCAAAGGTGGAGGACATCAAAGAGTTTTTTTTTTTTCTTTCCTGTTCTTCCTACTTTGTAATGAACAAAAATTTCTTTTTAAACATGAAATGCTTTAAACTGGAGTCTTGACCACCAGATAGTGGTATGAATTTTATTTCTGAAACATTATTATATCTCTACTTATCACCAAAAAAGTAAAGAAAAACAAGAAAGCAAAATGTGCAAGACTTTCCCCCCTAGGATGGCAAATTCAAAGCAAGACTAATTACAGTATCTGTTCCAGACATACTGACATGTTGCCAGTTGCCTTCGAGCAATAGTCTTACAATTAGTTTGTTTGTAGGTTGGATCCCCCAAATTTGTTTTCTTCACAACAAAACAACCAAATCAAAACACAGTTCAGGATTTTCTCTAATGTGGGTTCAAATCTCATTTTCTGTGTAATTTACCCAAGTGCAAACTAGACAGCAATATTTTTGGAACCCACGCCGAATAAACCTTGGCTTACCTTGTTAGTGCTAGAGAAAAATAGTCATAAAAACAACCTCATAACTCTACAGTGCTCATTGCTGTGGTCCTGGGAAATGAGCTGTTGATGTGTTTTAGAGAGCCACTCATGCAAAGGGTGCTGAAACAAATGTTCTGATAATTTCTTTTTCATGAATTAATCCACTTACGTGTGCTTTCACAACACCCAACACATATTTTTGGAAGAAAGTAACCAGAAGCCATATAGAATTAATGTCTTAAGTTCTACCTCAAAGTGTTTTACTAACAAAGTTTTGTACTTTGTCATGTTGAAAGGTCAATAAAGGACAATTTTGGCTGAGTATTATGTGTGTTTAGGAGGAAAAAAAAGAATTCAATATGGGTAAAACCAAGAATTCAGTAGAGTCAGAACTAGTATTTAACACTGAGAAAATCACCCCTCATCAACACTTACAATGTTTACCATTATACAAAGAACTCTTCAAGTTCTTCATCTGTTCTGCAATCCAACCATTCAGTGTGGCACATAAAGATAGATAATGGGCATGAAGGAAGGGCTCAAATTGGATCAATGTCCAGTCCTCACTACTTTTGAACACAGAAAAAGAAGAAAAGAAAGAAAAAGAGGGGACTGGGGGGGGGTCAGAGAAATAGCAAGGTATAGGGAGGGAAGAAAGGAAAGAAAGAAAGGGGGGAAAGGAAGGAAAGAAGGAAGGAGGGAGGGTGGGAAGGAAGGAAGGAAGGAAGGAAGGAAGGGAGGGTGGGTGGGTAAGTGGATAAAGAAGTAAAGCTTCAATCAACAAAACAACAAAGTTCATTTTTGCAAATTGCATTTTATGTTGGTACAACCAATGAAAGAAAAGGGCAACATAATGTGTGGCCAAAGAGCTTAAAATAAATACATATATGACTGGCTGAACATCCAAGTCCTTGAAAACACTGTTACCACTATTGGTATTTAATTTTAAATTCTTCCTCTGCAAACTAGTCACTGCTCAGGATTTTCAACCTGAACCATTCAGAAATATACGAGTATAATAACCAATGAAAATAACTCAATCATAAACAATATCATAAATTAAGTTAAAGTATTGAAGATAAGTGAAGACCCTTACATAAAGTGTTCTATAGGAAACAAACAAGACTTAGATATTTAAGAAAACTAGAAACTCTTCTGTATCTTGTAATATGCAGGGTTTTCATCAATGAGAAGACACTCATCCCTGCCTATTGAAATTATAAAACTACTGAATTGATGCAGAACTAGACACTCGAACCATGAATACTTGAGCAAAGCTACAGAAATATTTCAAGCCTACTTTGATACAATGTATCTATGATATCACTCACCACTCTTTAAATTTCTAAATAGCAAACTAGAAAAAGATTAAGACCTCACCTTTACCCAAGACATATGAACTTGATTTACAGAAAATTAATGTATTTTATATTCTGTGATTAGCATAAATGTGAAATTATGATTTCACAGAAGTTAGAATAATAATAGCTTCTACCAAAGAGGAAAAAACTTTTTTTTCTCAATACGGTTGGAATATACAACATCAAATAATCATAAAAGAGAAGGTATTCCAAAATATTTTTTAAATATTTTAGAATAAAGAAAGTGTGATATATTTTTATTTGTCCAAAAAAAATTGATAGATTATACCTCTTGAATCTATATATCTGTAACTTTTGAGAACAATTAATATTAAAAAAATAAAAACTTTTGAGGTCAAATTATGCTTTTTAAGCAAATTCTGTTAATGAAAATATCATAGATATAGACATTTACTAAATGACACAGCAATTTTACTCTGAACACTATAATAAAATTGGAGCAAATAACATTAAATTGAAAGGTTAGCACATTAGTTTTTTTTTTTTTAAGTTTATTACATAAAATAACATGCCTACCTCAGACTACCTGGAAAGACATTTTATAAATAATATTTCTCTATACTTTTCTTCAAAACTGAGGATCTGTATGTTGTATTTATTTTGTAGTTCCTTGGGGAACAGTATGCATTATTAAACTGAACTATGTCATTTTATGAAATCAATGTATGTTTTTCTAAATAATCCAATCAAAAAACATTGAGAACATATTTCTAATTATTATGGGACCAAAAAAAAAAGCCTGCACAACAATAGCAAACAATCATTTCTCAAAGCCAGTCCAAACACATAATCAAGGAGAGAATATAAAATTGATTCTAAGGTCACCGCAAACTTCCAGCAATTTTATAGCATTGTAAAAAAGAAAAGTAGAAGAAGGAAAAATTCACCCAGGGACCAACTTTTTTTCCTAAGGCCTTGCCATTGTTACCTTTCACAGTCCTATAAAGCCAAACCAGGCAGTACATTCTCCAACAATGTGAGTGATTTCATTACCTTTTAGGTTCACATTTAAAAATCTTCCATAGCTATTCTTTGTCACATAGCTTGTGAACATTTATAGAACTCATTAGAACTATAAAAAATATTGGTTCATAAAGATCAACAAACATAGAAGGAGTGAAACAAAGCCAAGCAAAACAAAATAAGTCAATAATAAATCAAAAACCATCGCATACTTCATGTATTAAATGTGAAAACAAAAAAGAAATTTCTTACCAAGCACCCCAAGCCGATAGTTGACAGTGATGACGATCACATTGCCATAGCTCGCCAGCACACTCCCATCGTATAAATTTCCAGTACCTTCCATGTATGAGCCACCATGGATATACACCATCACTGGCTTGGGACCTCCACTGTCCCGTATATCTGAAAAACAAATGGTTGGCAATTGTTCTTACCCTCAAAAAAACACAAATAACGAAGCACAGAGTACATTTTTTATTTTAGGGGCAGAAGGCATGATTTTAATATAGGTCTTTAAATTGCTGGTTTTTTAAAAGTGTTTCTTAAGCAGCTCATGTTAAGAACCATGGAGCAAGAGAGCAATTGTTTTCTATCTGAAATTTAGTTTACAAATTATAAACTAAATTAAAAACTTGAACAAATTGAAAGTGGTATGAATTTTAATGCATTTTAATTGATTCTGGAAGTGACAGTAAAACCCAAAGAAATAACCAATTGATAATGGCTCTTGGGCTACTTTTTTAAAACTGATCTCATATGGAATTTATGAACCATAAGCTAAGGATGATGGTATCATTATTACTGTGAATAAACAATTTTTTTTCATTTTTTATTTACTGTAGACCTTTGTATCAAATGCAGTATGATTACATTAAGTCATTTATGCTTCCATTTGTGGACATTATTATAGTATTATACTATTCATTGCAAGAAGTTTCATTTTACTCTTTGCATAGTATTAAACAAACGTTTTGGCAGTGAAGTCATATGCATCTGAGCTTCTGTCACTGTTGTATTTAGGGGGAATGCCATTTAAACGATTTTTTTTTTTTTTTTAGGAAGTTCTGACCATTCACTCATTCCACCTAACCTGAACCTTTGGGAGAACAGAACAATAAAATGATAATTTTCGTCTCTTTCTGTAGCTAACATACTCTTCTTATCCCTACTTTGGTGCTCAATTTTAATCATGTAACCTTGAAATAGGAGAAAGCTAAATTTGAGTGTAAAGTGACAAAATTTATGGTGAGCTTAAAGTGATTTCTATAACTTTGAATTTTGTCCAAGAATGTTTACTTTTCTAAAATGCATTTCTCACAATTGTGTAATTCTCAATAAGGTTATACGAATAACATATAAGGGAAATGTAAGAGAATTTTAATTAATATTATACATGCACTAATTTCTATAGGAAAAAGCTAACATATTACGGTTTTATTATGTAGATTAAAATGTGATTTTGAATATATATATATATATATATATATATATATATAAACAAAACATTATTATTACATAGTAGCCCATGAGGTCTAATATCCAAAATTAAAATTATATCAAGTATATTATCTCTATTTTTATATCAATATTAAGGGTATCATTTAAGATTATGGTTTTGTTCCTTTGCTTCTAAAAAAAAGTTTTAATCAAATTAAATTCTCCTACAACTTCACATTTGAGGCACTAGTTTTCAGAATGAACTAACATGATACAAATTCATTGAAAGAACTGGTGATTATTTAGAGATTGGCTTACATTTCTTGTGAAAAATAATGACTAATTTGAATCCTTCCATTTTTCTACCATAATAGTAAAATGATTTCTATAAATGAAAAGTCACTTAGGAGCAGAATTTTAGCTCAACTTGTTTGTCCAGATTTTCAAGTTGGGGAAATGTCTCATGGCAGAACTTAGAGACTTAATTTTTTAAAAAGACTATTTTAAATTGACTTAAAATCAGTGGGAAAATTTACCTTCCCACTCCTTTCCCCAAAGATGCACTTGAGAAGAATGTTTTGTTTTTAAGTAGTGAAAGGAAGATATTTTGATATCAAAATCATCTTCTAGATACAACTACATTTAAGAGGGAAAACCTGGATTTATTTTCTCTAGGAATCCTTGGGAGAGAAAATGGTATTCATTCCTATGTAAAGAATTGGGGGCTTGTGTTGTGGAGAAATTAGATTTACACCAAGGACATAATCCTTTTGAAATTGCTAAACTACAAACCTTAAATGCCTACTTTATACATACAGTTTTAGCTTCTTATTTTTCTACAGTGGTTGGCACTGAAGAAGCAATAATAAATTATTAAACTGAAATCATTAACTGACTGTTCACAGCAGACGTTGTACTCTGCTAATTGTATGCTTGGAGGTAGCACAGAGGGAGGCTGTTTCAGAATTCTTCTTTAATTAAAATTACATAGAATTACAAAGCACCAACTGTGAACAGTAATGAAATCTTGGTAGAACCATCCAGTTCACCTGGAAAACAATACAGAGAAGACCTGCCACATTTTATACCTAATAACTGAATGAAGTGGACATTGTTAGGAAGCATTGAAAACATGACAAAAGATTTTAGAAGCTATTTTAAGAAGGATCTCTTTATTTTTACTTAAAAATTAGACTTGAAAGGATTACAGATAGCTTGGATTAATTTTAATTTTCAACTTGTCTTTTCAAACTTTTCAAAGATTTCAGCCTTGCCCAATAATTTATATAGAGAGTAGTTCTTTTCTAGAAAGTTCTATAAAATTCTAATGCTGGGTTCTGAAAAATACTTCTTTATGCTTGAAGTAACTTTGAAGTTAATACTTTAAGGAATATTAATTACTAAAACAAATAAAAGTCTTAGACATTAGAATCTTTAATAGTGCTAATAAAATTTGGGGAAACATCAGAATTCTGAAAGAGCTTCTCATACAAAATAATTGTAATTCTTTAATAGTGTTTTATCAGAATGATCCATCTCAGACTTTACTTCTTTGCATAATTGATTTTTTTATGTTAATAGAAAATGTAAACAGTCCAAATTATAACTATTTTCTTTAAAAAAAACTAGATTATTTATAAATGAAATCGATATATCAGATAGCATACCATTGAATATTTTAATAATATTTCAAGTAATTTCTAATATTTAATATTTGTAATATTTTATCATATTTTTAATAATCAAATTTCAGGGGTACATTTTTCTTCAGTGGGAGTATATTCAATGGACTTAAGTAATTTGTATTGAACTTATTAGAGCCAAATCATCCTTGCAGACCATGTCTCTTGTGTAACTCCTTTAAATGAGGTGCAACATGTGAGCTATATATTGTACTTAAGATCCCTTATTTGCCTAAACAGTTGCTACTAAAATCATCAGAACATTCTCAGAGATCTTCAAACACTAGCTCAGTTTCAGTACATTATAAATGTTCATCAAGCATTTTCTGTTTTTGCAATTTTTAAAAAGCTTGCTAACTACATATGGCTTTGAAAGGAGTGAAATGTTATTGGAAAAATACTACCTGAATAATTATTTTCTTCTAAATTTTTAATAAAGTAATTTAATTTTTCAAATTAATAAAATAACAAACTTGGAATCTGAGTATATATCATGATTTTAAACTTAGGAACTATTTCATCTTTCCATAAATCAAAATTTTATATCACTTTAATAAGCATCAATAGATCTAGGAGTGTTTAGTGGGAATTTATTTGTGCCTGACAAACAGGATTTGGGATCACAGATCCCTGTAATGATTCTAGTAAATAATTATTAGTCACATAACTCCTTAAATATGTTTACTGGTTTCCTTCTTCTTAAAGGACTCACAAAGTGGTTAATTGACCATATTTTAGAGTTTGGAGAATTTAATGGTCTTAAACTTTTGAAGCATTGCCTCAGCTAAATCTTTCTCCAACATATAAAGGGACATTTCACAACATTTTGTGCTTTCTACTCATTTTTATGGAATTTGATTATAATTCAGAACTGCCAAAATAATAACAGTTGGTTGAATTTGTGCTTGTTAACCTGGATATAACACAAAGTACATTTTCAGTTTTAAAAGTATACAAAAATCTATGAAGCAAGTTTAAGAAAGCTCTCAATAGAATATAAAATTGCATTTGGATATTGAAATGTTAATATTAAGATATTCTTAGCATGATTAACATACTTTTAAAGTCTCCCAAATTCCTAAATGAATTGGAGGAAATCTGGGATGTTGCTTTTAACTATTTTTATTACTTCAGTTCTTTGTAAACTATGGAAATTGCCTATAAAATATACAGCTCTTTTGGTTATTATAAACCATACGTGAAAAATGATACAATTGTGCTTGGTTTAGAGACATCGAAAGGGCATTGGCTCACGAGATTAGAGTAAGAGCAGTCCACTGAGAAGTCTTCTGAGAGTATCAGTGACCCAGGGGCAAATTGTGGACATAAGAGGTTAGTCTCAGAATGCAGTGGCTGATACTGTACCTTGAAATCAGGTAAAACTATTAAGGTGTCACAGGTATGGCAAAATAATGGGGGAATTTTTTATAAATGAACAGAAAACCTGACTTCTGAGTGAAGTAAGCAAATAATTCATCAAGTAGTTTCTATTCTTTTATGTCCACTGTTATTGATTCAACGTTTGAAACAACTAAGTCTGAAAACTAGACTCAGTTTTTAGTCCTACCCACATCTACAAAGTGATTCTAAAAGACATTGAATAGAAGATACTCAGAACTTTCCACAATATCTGTTCCTGTAGGATATTAGAATTCATCTTTATTCTCTACAAAACAAGTATTCAGTAAAACACAGAGGAATAGACTGAACTAGAACTGGCAGCTTTGACATTCTACACTTTTGAACATTTAAGAAAATTTATGGATTGATAACTCTTGTGATGAGTGGCTTAGTACATAACTTCAATACTACCTGCCAATTCAAATAAGAGTTTAGGTTATTTTTAATGGCCAATTTAAAAATGTTAGATGGGCTTCACAATAGATCTATAAAGTAGATTCACATCTATAGGACTTAACTTACTATGGTTGCCCCTAGGTATCTATTTTTAACATGTAAATGCATTACTTGGTGCTGTTTCACCAAAAGAAAAAACGAATCATATTAAATTAGCAACCAAAATATTTTTTAAATAGGGAGGTGATGTATATTATCTTTGTGACTACATTGGAAAGTTATGGACTTTGCAAAGATACACACTAAGAAGTGCTTTATACTCACTTTATTATTTAGATAACAAATGAATAGGTTTTAGAATTTTCAGAGAGCTCAACAAATTCAAAATCTATAAGTGGAGACAGTCTTCATTAGAGCAGGGAGAACAGTAACCTTGCTCTACAAAGTCAAAAAATGTTCTGAATGTTTAAATATATCACATTTCTAACAGTATTTTTTTAAATCACAATTTGTATTTTGATCTTATCTTTATTTTAGCCATTTAGCGTTCATAATGATAACTTTTGAGCACGAATAATGATTTATTTAAAATATCAATGACAGCTTTGTGTTTAATCTTTAATTTGCTTCTTGGGTTCATGGTAAATGAATTTTTATTAAATATCATAAATTTCATAACCAAAATAATTCTTAAGGTTATAAAATATTAATAATCAAATGTCATTTTAAGCTTTCAATAATTCACTTCCATAGTTTAATTTCCTACTGTAAAGGGGTTTGTTAAATATGTTAACAATTGATATTGAAAATGAAAAGAGCGCAAATTGTTTAGTAAAGAGTGAGTCACTGGTGAATTCCTTGTAACTTGGTCACCCCTTATTGCTGTAGATTATTTTATTTTGGAAAATCTATCTTATTGTATTAATAATATCTTTTTGAGATTTCAGTTTTAGGCTTCAGGGAATTACTTTTAATCTTGGATTACATTAGTTCCCTCTATTACAGTTATATCTAGGATAGCATTTAAAAAAGAAAAAAAATAAAACAATGAAACCAAAACGAGCTGAAAGAATCAATAAGCTTTTCTAGACACTAAAAATCAGGTACAGGTAGAGTGGAATGAGAAATTTCAGATCAGTCTTTTGAGTACTTGGGTTAAAAACGTAAATCAGAACTGTATGTCTTAAGAAAGCAGGAAGGAGAAAACAATTCTGATATTAACAAAGCAGGAAATATCTTATTGCTCATAGTTGGCAATTCTTTCAAAATCTGAATAATCTGATTTATTTGCTAATCTACAAAGTATGTCCTTTTGAAATTAACAATCATCCATTTCATCTTTTTTAAATAATATAAACTTCACTAAAAATATTACTATAAGCTCATGGGACTTCAGGGGCTCTACAGTGATTAGGAATTAACCCAAGGGTTGTGTTGTCTTTTCTTACCTACAAAATTTTATTATTTATATTATATATCAGCAAATCAACAGCCAGTGGTATTCTAAAATGAAAACATATTGCTCAAGAAACACTTTATATCAGCTTTTAACTTTTCTTTTTATTTAGTGTAGGGTTCTTTTTAAACAATGTCAAATGTAAAAAAATGAAACACATTTTGATATTGGCTAAAATAGTTACATAGATTAGAAAACATGCAAAATGGGCACAGAGAGACTACAAGGGAAAGATTGTTAGTTCAAAGAATGTGGACGCATTTGTCAAAACGTGGGATGAAACATATCAAAAGTCAGTTCAAGAAAATAATAATTAAAAAAGCCCCTCTTTTTAAAACATTTTAATGGTTGGCATCAAAATGTAAAACTTAACATTCATTTTTTGAAAAAAATTAAAAATGCATATTTATATGTAACAACAAGCAAGAAGACAAAACACATCAAAAACGGGAATTCAAAACAACTTTTCAAAAAAAGACAAGAAGTAAAAAAATAGAAAGGGGTGGAAAAAGTGATTGAGTCCCTTGTCATGCAAATAGATTTGTTGAAAAAAAATACCTTCATCTTCAGCACCGTCATTATCACCTAAATCATCTGTCTGTTTCTTTGTAAGGGGACCTAGGATTGAGAATGGAGAAATGGAGGGAAAAAAAAAAGACAATTCAAGAATAAACAAGACTGAGGGCAAAAAGTTAAATGTAAGTACTAAAACTCTCAAGGATATTTCAAAAAGAGCGGGGAAGTGGTTACATCATAGTTGATTATCTATTTTGTTTGAGAAAAAAAAAATCCCTTTCCCCAAAATATCTTATAAAAGATTGGTTTGTGAACATATTCAGCATAAAAAATACATTATGATTTGAAAGTCATAAGTCATAAACCACAGAAATGATCTTTAAAAAAATACCCAGTGAATACAAAAAAGTAAACAGTTTTATTAGCTGAAAGAACTCAATTTATTCAGTGTCTTTTCTAATTTAAATTGGTGACAAAAACAAAGAAAGTAAGTCAAGTTCATTCTTTAATTTGGGACAATATAATAACATTAGGGAAAATAGAGATATGAACATTTTAATTTGTTCTTTTTTAGTTTTTTTTTTCCCTTTTTTAAAATAAGAGCATTATCACTTGGGTTACATACACTTTAAATTCATACATTTTAGCTGTGACTTTTTAAAATTACTTCTCAATAACAAATATTTCCCCATAGGTTTTCATTTAAATGTATGCTGTGGATTTAAGACATTTGTCACCTGCACAAATGCATCAATGGATAATCTCATCACAAAAGGTCCCATTGATAGGAGCTGGTGTTTAGCTATTAAGGTAGTTACAAAGTCAGGGCTTATATTTCATAATCACTTTAGTCATATAATGGAATTATGCCCTCTTGCAATTTCATGCCCAGAATGGTTATTTATAATAGGATCATGTTTTAGAAGAATAATTATATTAAAACACTGTGAATGTTTAATAAATGTTTTATTATACTTAACAATGCTAATTTGCTAGAATAAAAGAACACACCAAAGGGGAAGTCAAAGGCCAGATGAAAGTAATTTTAAGTGTCACATAATTGACATACTCAGCACACAAAAAAGCAAGTGAAGCCCCACATTCTCTTTTTTATTTCCACAACCATTTAATCTGTATGACATTTCATAATTCTCATGCAAAAGCAATCACTATGAACACAGGACACTCAAGTTAAAAGACAGCCAACCACGTAGCAATAAGCAAGAAAATTTTGTCATGCATAAAATAAGTCATAGAAAAAGGAGGAGAAAAGGACTGAAAGTGATGATTTCAATAACATAAATAGTAAAGAAGCAGGCTTTAAATCTAAGCACACTTCTGAGGGAAGGACTGTTAAACATTTTGAGAAAGACTTCTAAGTCTTTTTTAGAGATTACTTTGCATTATATTTGTAATTCAAAACTAAACCTTCTATAACAACTCTAAAAGAATAAAAACACCATCCAAGAAACAAGGGGGGGAAAAGAGATATAATTATGTTTCATCAGCTCAGAGACAGCCTTGAAAAATATCAGTGACTAGCAAAGATCAAAAGATTGGAAAAACAGAAATTGATGATATAATTGAAGGGACCATGGTACAGTCAATTGTAATATCATGGTTTCATCATTGCAAATAGAGACATGGGAACTGTACACAAAAAAATTAAGCAATATACTTTTATAATCACACCTTCAAGCAATCATTCCATTGAGAAAACCTAGATGAAAATAATAGTTTATGTTAATTGGCATTCATTTGCAAGCTCATAGATAGCTGCATTTCTTTAATATGACTCCTCTTAAATATAAAAAGCACACTTATCTCATGTTCATGTAACAACAATGCTACACCTGCTAAAAGTATAAATTTTACATTTAAATTTAAAAATTGCTAAATCAGAATACTATATTTAAAATATTTCAAATTTTAAAACACTTGAATATTAATGATAGATAATTGTATTCGATTATATTATAAGCTTTTAACTTTTCTGCAACTACCTATTTCCTAGGCTACTGTTAATTATGTTCTTTTGTTGTTGCTGTTGTTATTGCTGCTGTTTGTTTGTTTTGATAAGTAATAGAAATTTAGCACAGTGATATTTATTGTAGCCAAAACCATCATCTATATTCTAATTTCAGTTAAACTGTTTAACTGCTTAGTTCTTGGCTCTTTAAGAAACTAGAAATCTGACCCCCCTCCCCCAATTGTTTTTTTTTCTGAATCATCAGTTCACTAATATTTGGGGACAAAACCAATCACAATTAAATAACTCTTCATTTTTCAGGTGGAAGTATATTTCTTCCTCACCTAGGCTATCCAAAGCAATTTACATGGTTTCCAGTAGAAATCATGTAGGTTCTACAGCCACCATGCCAGTGGATTTACATACTTTACATGCTTACAGAATTGTCAGCTCTTAGGCCTATGTGAGAAATAAGAGAATTTCTGTTAAACATAATCTTCCACTTTGCATGTGAACATAATTCTCAGTTGCTCTTTGGCTCTGGGTGGGTTTAAGTTAAGAAGTCATGGGAAAGGAATGGTGTTAACAAAGAATTTTTTTATGGATGAAATAGTTGATTGACCTAGCTTTTTGCTATTTTTAGTTTTTATACCCATCCCTACTCAGGAAATGGTGCCTCTTAACTGATGTGGGGGAAAAAAACAGACACAAATATAGATTCAACATAATAAACATATGGAAGCATCATTAACCTAGAGGAGAATTAAGTTGAATTCGCCCAACTAAAGAATTTCATATATTGATGCTAAGTAAACCTTTAGAATGAAATGGTATTGTTACCATAGTATGCATTCCAGCAGTATTTTAGTGATTCGCTGGATTTTCTTAACCTCAAGAGTTTTTTTTTACACATCTGATTTTTTCAGGTTCCCTGGGAAGAAGAGGATTGATAACAGATTTTGGCAAAAGTGATTATAAAAAGAAAGAAAACAGATTTCCTTTATCTTCATGCCCAAAGGCACTCAGAATAAATATCTAAGAGGGTTTAGGGTTATGAATTGAGAAACTCAATCTTGGTTCATGTGAGGACGCCTGAATGGAGTTAATTCGTGCTTGTGAATTACAGTGACAGATCGTACCTGATCTCCAGACTCCCTATTGCCATGCTGCAAACAGAACAGCCCATCACCTTAGCTTTGCTCCCTTGGTACATCAGCAACTATAGCTCATTTTCCATTTATTCTAAAGTGTTAAAGTACTTAATGATGTTAAAACATTTTTTGTAGTAATTTAAATACAAAGAAAATATCATAAAAATCAGTTGGCATGAATTTTCTTTCAAAAATTAGATAATGACATTTTAGGGATCACATGTCCCTGTAAGTTAAGCAACATGATTTTCCCAAGGGCAAAACATTTATCCTTTGAACAGGTATAGCAGTCATTAACAACATTCCAACCACAGCTTAGGTTTCTTTTAAACAACAAATAGTGCGTTTTCAATACCAGCAGTTTGAAATGGCTATCTTCAAGCATCAAAATATAAAACAAATGAGACCACTAAACCCTGAGTGTAGAAGTGATTTATTTTACCTTGAAACCCGATTGGGTCCTCTCCTCCCTGAGGAACACACACATAACTCTCATTAGAGTTAATAGGAAAGTAGACCTCAAGTCATTTTGAAAGGGAGTGAGAGTAATTACTATATTTTATATCTCCTATAGGCAATAAATAGATTCAGTGGTAAAACAACAGGACTAAGCAAGGTAAAGGGAACTCCTGACCATGAACTTCAAACTCCTTTCATTCCAAAATAGTTCCTTTGTCATTAACATAAGCCATAATTCAAAGTATTGGCCTTTACAAAGAGCGTGTGATCCATTCTTAGGTTTCAGAATCTGACCAGGGTGCCTTTTATTTTTTTTAAAAGAGGAATAAAAATATCAGCATTTCTCTCTAGTTAACTGGAGAATAATTATAAGCTCTGAAATAATTACTATCCACCCATATTAATGCTGCTTTTCATCATTCTCTTTGATGAAGGGCTAATATACTTTAGGTCTTAAATACATTAGAACTGATTATAAATTCCTTCATTATGGGTTCAATTCAGCAGAAATTATCCCTACTTTGTGTCCCATGTATCTGCAAAAGGCAAGTAGGTTGAGGATATTATTAGCTCTTGACTTAGAAAGCTGGCCATGAGAAATGTGCTTCTATCAAGGGAAAAAAAACTCTGATATTTTTAGGATTATTTAGAGCTCCAGGTTCCAGAAGGTCCCAGCATGATATATGGGAAGCCCTAGCTAATGACCTTGTTCTCCTCTTGCTCCACCCTCTCGACCTCCAAGCCTTTAAGGTAAACTGACAATAAAGAATTCCTCAGGCCATTTCCACAGAATGAGGGGATTTAAAGATATTGCCAAGGTTGTTCTGGAGCAATTGAAGACAGGCTAAATATTTTGAGGGATGTATTCCCCTGAGACAAAAGTTAGTTTACCAAGTTTGTATCAAGGATAAAAATCTATGCTTGTTCCATATGAAGAACAAAGTCAGAATTCAATGCATTTAAAGTAATAACAATTTTCTTCCCAAATGACAAACATTAAAATTTAATGACTTTATAAATATATATATCATAATGGTTGGTATTATTACAAACCTATTGAGTTTTACCCATTGAAATTTAGTTGATTTTATAAAACTAGAATGAATACACACCTCTTAAAAAAAGGAATGAAAGTGACTAATTTAGAATATTAACAATTTGGTGTTTCTGTATTTGTTTAATAAAAAGTTATTACATTTCTTAAGCAATTAACTCTATGCTCAGATGTAAAGAAATTGTAATAATGTTCTTTCTGGAAAACCTCATTTAAAGAAAGATAATTCTTTGAGCAATATCATAAATTTGAATTACACTAAAATAAAAATATAATGCAAACCATTGTGATGAGACACTGGAAGTAAACTTTGGAATAGTTGATCTTTTCAAGAGAATTCCTATCAGTGGTGGTACCCTGCTTGCAGAGTATCCAGGCATTGTTTGGGTGAGCTTCCTGTTAAGACTGAGGGCTCATGTGTATACATGCTTTGGAAGGGACCACTCTCAAGGGTCTGAAAGCAGCAGGT